TTTGATACTCTGATGTTTTGTTTTGGAAACCAGACACCGTGATGATCTTTTGATGAAACGGTATTTGGTTGGTTTTGTCTCATTTAAAATGAAATTTTTACACTATATTTTGGTGACGTTACACACAAAATTATCTTTGATGTTAAAAAAGTTATAAAATTTTACGAGAAAAGTAACGTCGCGATAAGGTAGACTTTTATATATGAAATAAAGAGAAAATGAAATTGAACATGGTTGATATGCATTCTAAAATAGGCTCATGGCTGGCCACTACTGTTCCCTGCTTAATTTGTGAGGATAGAAGAAAAAAAAAAGAATTTTCCTTTAGAAGTTATGCTAAGACACCAAACTATGCCGTATACCTCTCTTGACAAACTCATAATCGAAACCCTCGTGATTAAAATAGTGAACCTCCAATATGAAGAAACTAATGCCTTATACGATGAGTGTGTATGTGCGAGTCATTCGGAGGTCGTGAGTTTGATCCTTCTTCTGCTCCTTTTCTTCCTCTGGACGATTTCTTTTTATTTTCAACTTAATGCTAACGTTGCATGCCCACATTAACTAGAATTCCACATTGGCAGTCAACCTCAGCATGTGACCTGCTGGAAAAGACACAAATGGTTATAAATTTTAAATTATTCGGTTTTCTGGACTTTTTTATTCAAAAAATAAATAAATAAGACTTAATCATAAATTTTTCCAAACATTTGGGATTTTTTTGAAAATTTTCTTTAATATTAATATACTTAGTGTTAAATATGATTGCTAATACTTAAGTGATAAGTGTTAAATATGAATCTATTAGGACAACACTCGTTTATGTTTGTATTATAATAATTAAATAGAGATGTTTTGTATGAAATTCATGGATTAGGCAGATATACCTAAAAGTAACAGTAATATATATTTTTTTTAAATGTGCTCCGTGTATATCTAATAGATGAGTATATTAAGTTTTAAGGTTATGTTTGGCGGACTAGCTGAAAAGTAGCAGTTAGCTTAAAAACTAGCTGTTAAATAAAAAGCTAGCTGATAGCTGAAAAGCTAGCTGATAAAAAATTACGTTTGGTAAAACTAACTGAAATATATAAAATTACATAAAAAGACATGTAAGAGTATGTGTTTCTATAATTAATTAATGGGTGTATTTGGAAAATTTTAAAAAAAAACTCCTAAAAAGCTAATCTAAGTAGTTTTCAAAAAGCTAGCTTATAAGTTCATTTTTAGCTTACCAAACACGACAACATAAAAAAGCTCGAAAAATAAACTAACTTATCAGCTAGTTGTGGCGTATCAAACACAGCCTAAGTAAATTACATTCGTGGACATAGAATATAAATATTGTTAGTGATGTATAACAGGGTAAGACATAACGGAAAACATGTCATTGATTTATTTTTTATATATTAGTTTTTTATTCTAAAGATATAAGAACTTCCACACCTAAGCTTTCAATTCACTTGCAAAAGCCACCTAATCACCATTTGCAAGCCAGGTAGGACAACTTCTTTCACAGGAGGGAGGAGGTTGAGGGTCATAGCAATGGATCTACTCGAAATCAATTTTGGACGTGGTAATCCTTACCAATGAAAATGATAGGTGATCTTGGGACCTTGATACTATGGGAGGTTGTTCAGTGTCCTCGACTAGAAATTGTATTGATAATAACACTTTCATTGTTGGGGAAATCGACTTAGATGGAATAATCTAGTCCCTACCAATGGAAGCGTCATAATTTGGAGATTAACTGTAAATCCGATGCCGACTATAACTAAATTGGATAAGAGAGGAATTGGTGTTGATTCTTTTGATTGTCCAATTTGTGATGCTCAAAATGAGATGATTGAGGCGTTTAGTGTTTCATTGTCTTGTTATTTCTATTTGGAATCAAATAGCCCATTGATGGGATACAAATACCCATACCTTTACTATGACTTCGTATTGAATGAGCTAGCTAGATGAATCATGTGACAGTTAATAACATGCAAAGAAAATTTATAGATGCAATCATCATAACAACTTTTTTGGCTCTTAACCTTTCTTTTAGATTATTAATTGAAGTTAGTACTCAGAAGCTTAAAATTAACTAGGTTGATTGGTCATTTGGTTGTACAAACATATGTTAACTACTTCAGCTTTGTAAGTTCTCTCTTTTCTAGCTCGTGCTAGCTAGTCTTGATAATACTTTTCCATTCCAAAAAACAAAACAAAACAAAAAAAACAAAACAAATGTAATTCTCTTTATACAACTCGGCTAAGATTTTCAATAATGAGTTTCATGAAACCTAAATTGAAGAGAGATCAAGACATCTAAAGAAGATTTATATATTTGTAACGTAAACTTTAGATTGATAAACTAAAATAAAACAGGTGAGAGAATGTTATATATATATATATATATATATATATATATATATATATATATATATATATATATATATATATATATATATATATATATATATATATATATATATATATATATATCTGGAAAGACGCAAAGACGATGCCAAGTACTAATAAACTAAAGGGAAATTTTGTTGAACGTTTCCTTTTGCAAGGTTTAAGTAATGTATTATGTAATGATGCAAGTCCATTTGTAGGATGTGTGGATCAGGCTGCCCCCCATGAATGTCTCACTACACTGGTCCACTTCACTTCATCTCTTAGACAAAAGATCCCTCCCTTCCCTACATCTTTTGTTCTTCTTTATACTTATTTTTGTACCATAAAAGCAAATGTACAACACATAAATCACATTGTACAACATAACATCAATGAAAAAAATCAAAATAATCGACATCTATAGTAAAACTTAATGGTATAAAAGTGATAGTATTTTATGGTGATAGGTCAATTCGAAAAGTAGGCCAAGCTGTGTCTTCAAATTTCAAAGATCGGTAGTTCCAAGCAAATGATACTGTCTTTAAAAAGATGGGACAAATCTCTACTTTCATTCTAGTTTTTTATAACAACATATACACTTTTTTAAATCAAGACTCTTTAACCCCATCAAATATGCCAAGAGTTGTCTTGTCTTGGTTTAGACTATTTTTGATTGTAAAATAGGGTTTTTATACTGACTATATATAACATAATAACAAATATATTTCAAAGTTATCTAGAACTCACTTGAAAATATACATTTCAAAGTCAGTTAGTTTTTAAAAAACGTTATTTTTTATTAGCTAATTTTTTATTTATCAACTATCTTTTCAGCTAATCTATCAAATATAACATTAATCTAACATAATAAATGAAAATCGTTTTTGACAAATATCATGTTGTTATTGAATTTGACAAATGTCATTTTCTATGATTTTTTTGAATTGTTTTTCTTTACTAGTCATTTTTTTTTTGTATTTTTTATTTTTTAATTTAAAATCCAAATTTTATTAAGGTTTATATATGTTGTGTCTTTCCCTCCTATTTCAAATCTTCTACAATTAAAACTTAAATCAATAATATCTGGCATAGGCATCCATTTGATATCATCCATAGGCATTCAATTGATATATTAAATATTATCTTTAATAAACTCATATAGTATAGAGATTCCACACCTATTATATAATATATGCAAAAAAATAATTAAATAATTAAATAAATAAAATTGACTGGTTGAGATGGTTGAGATGATAAGTGTAATATAAATAGACCGCAAAGATCAAATGATAATGGGTACGATACCCTCTAAAAAAGGTCATCGAAGCAAGATTCCATGATGCACAATAAGGAAATATCAAAATTTTGTTAACCAAGTTAAAGTAGTTTATTCTGTTTATACTAAAATTTTAATAATAGCATACTAATGATTCGACGAATGTTGTCAAAAGCTTATTAGAATACACGTTGTAGTTTTTGTGAAATACAAAACGTACATTTTTAAAGTGATTTTTTGCAGCATCAGAGTATTATTATGATTAGTAAAATATTAGAAAGCAGATCGATATTAATATTTTCTCCTTTTTTATTTATAAAACATATGGGTAAAGTAAAGCCTAACCCGGCCCAGAAAAGTCCGGATCAGATCTTGGCCTTGTCCAATCCTAAAAAGTAAAAACGTCAGGATAAAGCCCGACAAAAGCCTGGTCCAAAGCTACAAAACCGCATATCCGGTCATACATTTTTTTCCACACTTCAAAACTCATTCTGAAAAACTGTTTTCTACTATGATTAAACAACTTCAGTTAGTTAGTTTTAACGGTTTAGGAACTTGGTTATTTTTCTATTAACAAAAAATATCATCATCTTCAAAACGATTGAAAGTTTTGAATACGGATGAATCAATACCACGAACACGAATACAATCAACTCTTGTTATACGATAAGCTAATATCCATTGTTTTATAAAGAATGCGTCAATGTACAGGTGTGAGTTAAAACATCATCCTCATTGACTTTCAAAAGGCAAGCAAAGTGCATTATTGTATTCTCACTAATCTTATATTGATTGTTTCACACAAAGGTCAAGGGGTATAAGTGTAATTTCTGGGTGCTTAGTCATTACTCAAATTCAAAAAGGCCATGGTCCCACAAAACATCGACGTGTGCATTTATATATACACCCTTCTAGTCTTCTAGATTAGAATATGGTCTCACATAACCTCCAAAGGGTCAATTTACACACAAAGGTGAATGGTCTTATTCATCTTTTTCACATGTTAAAATAAAACATTATTATTATTCATGTTAGATGTTAGATGTTAGATGTAACCAACAAAACTTGGGATTAAATAATTATACTGAAGCATAATCTCAGATTTGAATTCAACAAAATCTAGAAGCCAAGGTTTTAAAATGAGATGAGAGTAGGTTAGGTAGTGAAGAAGTCAAGTCATAAAGACGTGAGATGTTCCTGTTTTTTAATCACAAAAAATATTTTTTGTTTAAATTTTCTAACATATCAAGAAGTTGACTTTGAAACTGTACACATTGTGTTTAATTTCCAATGTCAAACACCCTTAAAAACCTAATAAAATCACAATAAAAGACAGGATCAAAAAACCTGCATTTCTTCATCCCATCAATTGAAGTAAAAGATCAAAGACTAGAGAAGAGTGAAATCAAGATTCAATATGAGGAGTTGGATGCTTTGTTCATTATCAGATGCTAAGCAGTTCAAACTCCGGATCAAAATCTGTGAGCTTGAAGGTTTAGTCATGGATGATATTCCAAATAAAGATACATACAAGGTACAGGTACATATAAACCTAGGAATTCCCAAAAGAGGTTATGTACCTCGAATCACGAGTCAAAAAGATCATACCTCAAAACAGCAAGTGGGCCCCGATGGACGTGTCTGCTGGAACGAAGGCTTCGAGCACCGTTGTAACAACTTGGACACAAAGGGAGTCAATCTTAAAAGCTGGAAGATCAACCTTCAAGTTCATGTAAGTATTATAGCATCCTACTTTCGTTTCTTTCTATTAAAGCATTGTTGTTTTATTTTTTATTATTATTATTATTTGTTTTCATATTAAGGCATTGTACTTTAAAAAATCTCTACCAGATTATAGCATTTTGATGTAATAAATAAGTAGAAATGAAATTAGCATGTTGTAATAATCAAATCAGTTAGGGAGTAGAGTATTAGCCTTTTTCTATCACTATCTAAATATGCATTGAAAATTACTAGGGAATTGATGTTGAATCCAACAACAAAGCTGATGTATTGGCTAAAATCAAAATGGATGTTGCCGAATTCACCAACAGTTCAGAAAAACCGGTCAAACTTCCAGTCAAATGCTGCATTGGTAGCTACACCCATGAGGCCAAACTAAAGGTAGAAACTTTTGTAATCATAGCTAGACTCTAATCACTCTATACCTCCATTAGACCTCAAACATATCAAAATTACAGGTAAAACTCGAGATCATTGAAGTTCAAAAACCGCAAACCGAAAACAGTGTCCATCCGATATCTCCAACTCATCTCCTCCCATCGCTGCTTTCATGTGTAAATTTTCAAAATCAAACAAGAAACAAGGCAGAGAACATGAAGATGGAGATGGAGATGGAGAACTCACAATCTGAAACTGAGGAAGGAGATGATCAAGGGTATAAGAGGATAAAGATGTTGGAGCTATTAAGAAGTCAATCTTTACATGAAGGAATTGAGTACCAAAAGCAAGATAAACAACAGACTTCAGGTTACGAATACACAGAAAAAATAAAGCTAAAAAGGCTTCTCTCATGGAATATTAAAAAGCCGAAAGATGCACCACTTTTGAATAAAGAGATAGGTGGAGGTGATGACATTGATAACGAACGAAGAACCCTAATGTCATACCTAAAACCGAAAGATTCGGTAAAAAAAGATATCAAAAATAGTGAATTCACGGGAAGTGATAGATTCGAAGTGGGAAAATGGGAAAAGAAAAGGGTAAAAAGCAGAGATGGAAAATTGGAACTTCAGACAGATATATTCCTGGCTACAATTGATCAGAGGAGTGAGAAAGCACTAGGTGAAGGAGCGTGTACAGTCATCGCCACAGTGATTGCTGATTGGCTGCATAAAAACCCTAATAATTTACCATTAAGATGTGAATTTGATAAACTGATAAGAGATGGATCAAGAGAATGGAGAAAGTTATGTAAAGAAGATACCCACAAAGGGAAGTTTCTTGACCAACATTTTGACCTAGAAACAGTCATACAAGCAGAAATTCGACCATTGGAGGTGGTATCTGAGAAATCGTATGTTGGGTTTTTTAAGCTTGAAAACATGATGAACAAAGTAGATCTTTTGCAAGATGCAATGAGTTTTGATACCATATGGAATGAGCTTGAAAATGGTGATTCGAGTTTAGAAGAACGTGTTTACATAGTTAGTTGGAATGACCATTTCTTTGTTTTAAAAAAAGAAAACAAAGAAATGTATATAATTGACACGTTGGGAGAAAGGCTGGCTGAAGGGTGTAAAAAAGCTTACATTTTGAAGTTTAATGAAGATAGTGTGATCCACAATGTGGAAGATGATCAATCAAGCATTATATGTAAAGGGACATCTTGTTGTAAGGAATTTATCAAGGGGTTTCTTGCTGCTATACCTTTGGGAGAACTGCAGAGTAGTGTTGAGAAGGGTATAAATGGAAAAGCTCCTCTTCATCAACTCCTGCAAATTGAGTTCCAATATATGTGGCCCCTGCAGCAGAACTCACCAATTGTGGAGACAATAAATTGAGCATTTTGTTAAAGTGTTTTAGTGTTAATAAATTCTGAAGGAATTATAATGATCATTATAGTACATTTTTCCATGATTTTCTTCTTAACAAAGGTGTTTAATGGTTTTTAAGATTCTTTATCATTATCATTGTTTTGGAGCAGAAACTACTTTAAGTTTCTTTATTTCAATAAAAGTTGCAAAAAGTGAGCAAGAGACTTATATCAAAGCCTTGGGTGCTGCTTCTTTTTTACTTAATGCAGAAAGAACTTACTCTTTTTACCAATATAGGCAATGTACTTTATTATTTTCAACAACACCCAACTTTTTTTTTTTTTTTTATTTTACATTTAAAATAGCAGAATGATTAATATACTCTGAACAGCATGTTCTAAACATCAATTTACAAGAAAAAGGAAGATTGAGACATTGATAAAGAATGTGTAAAAAAACCTCTATATGTATGTATAGACATTGAACCTGAGCATTAGGAAGTTTAGAGAAGAACTCTCTTCTATCTCCAAGTGATATACAAAAATGTGCTATAGAGATGTAACAGACTTATGAGCAATGTCATAAACAGAAATAAGAATTTCAGCAACTATGAGTACAATAATGACCCATTCCAGAAAATCTGATTTTCTGTTCTGAAGGATCTCTTGAAGAAAACGAATGTTATGCTGCAAGAATCAGAAAAATCAAGTGTCAACATCACAGCCACACAAATAAAGTGAGCAAACAAATGATAATTTACCTCCACAAATTTCAGTTTGAAATCTAAACTAGCAAATCTCTGAGTCAACTCGAATTCATCTCTAAGATACTCCCAAATCTGAGCATATTTAGCATCCTTCCAGGCAATATCAGATCTGAACAAGAACAACACAACATTTTTCATAAATTGTTCAACTTCAACATGAACAAAACACAGAAATTTCATGACCCGATTTGTACCTTTCAAAAAGTCCAAGCTTAAGAATGACATCAGCAAGATTCGAATTTGCCTTCCCCACCAATTGAAATAACTTTTTCCTCTTCATTGTAAAAGTTCCAGTTTTTTCCATACCACGGTTAATATCAGTGAATTCTCCAACCATCCCATCAACCTAAAAGAAAAGGAATATAATGAAATGGGTATTTGTATTTCTTTGAACAATGAGGAACTTGAATTGGAGTTTAGAATTAAGTAATTAACAATTTAACATACCTGGCGAACATAGTAATCAAGAGCAATACTCTGACCTAGAACACTACCAATTGTACGGATCCCATCAGTATTCAAATACTGCAGCATTATATAATCTAATCCACCTTGCATCCATGTGTTCAGGGTTGGTTTCTCTTTGACCTCATATTCTGAGTATCATACATGATAAAACTCACAGAGTTTAGATTTCAATATGAATATAATGAATGCAAATAATATAACTCACCATCTTTTCTTATCTCATTTAGCAATCCTGAAGCATGCCTTTCAACGATTTTCAGGTACCCATCAATTTCATGATCACGAACATTAAACAGGACAATCGAACCATACTGGAAGACTACCATATAACAGCAATCGCTCCCACTTATACTAGGAGCCGAACCCTGATTTGATGGTAAATATAACTATCACAGACAGGTTATGATTTATGAACATTCAACAAGTGTGAGCCAAATACAGAAAGATGTAAAAAGATATTCAGTTTATGTGCTTAATAATTTAGCCCATAGAAGGATGCAGAAGAATGAAAATGCAACAATGATGACAGGGATGGACTTACAGTAAGCTCAGGCTTGGTGCTGCCAAACCTCAGGACGACATAGTTAGTCATGCGTGATGTAGGCGGGATGAAATTAGGTTTGTTTTGGTCCACTAAGCTTCTCAAATCCACACTGCACAAAATCACCACGGAATGAAATGGATATTACACATCCTTAAAGGTGGAACATCAATACAGTTTTTAGGACACCGTTATCATACCTGGTAGAGAAGAAATAAGCTCTGACGGGAATTGAAGGCTTCAGGTCCTCCTCAGTCACACCATCATTATACGAATCATCAACCTCGGTCACCGTAATAGGTTCATGCCACTCAGTTGTATCAGCCACCGACACCGACGGCGACGAGGAGGAAGACGAGAAATAAGAAAAACATCTAGCAGCTCTGGATGTCGAACTATAACCAAAGTACCCACATCCCGTCATTGCAATTGGTGAAGATGATGGATACGATAATCGGCGAAGGTTTATGTGAGAGCGAGGGGGATTCGTTCTTACTGATTGACGTGGTGGCCCTGGTGATGATAAGAGTGCGTTAGGGTTTGATGAGAGTGAGATGATTAATGCCTTCACTGATAGAGTCTGAGAAGAATAGAGAGAAGGGTTGTGGCTCATTGTGGCGGCGTTTGTCATATGGACGTCGATTGAGCGGTGGTGCCGCCACATTTTCACCGGAGGCCGGAGCATTTCTCGGATGTGTGTCATCTGCCAGTGGCTTTGCAGTTGTTTTTACTTTTTCGCCTTTGGATTTAGTTATCTTCCTACTTAAGTGGTAGTCATTATGGTTTAAAAAATGCACCAGTTTTTTTTTTTCCTAACATGTTAATAACTAATTATTAAGTAATTATAAGAAATAAATTAAATTGTTTTTTTATTTTTTTATGTCTACAAATATTCTTATTCAATCAAATTATGACAAGTATCATCGTTTCATAATTTTTTTTAACTAATTTATTAGTGCTATATTAAAAATATATCAAATAAAATTAAATTGAATGATGATTTCTCATGTGGATATGAATAATTATAGAAATAAAATATAGGAGGTAATTTAATTTCTCATGAGATTCTTACACCTTCCTTTATCTTTTTTTTTTCCTTATTTTTTCCTTTTTAATAGGGGTGGAACACAACCGTTTGAACCGAATGAGCCGACACTTGAACTTATAAACAAAATTATATAGACAAAATAAACCTACAATTATTATTATGTTCATATTTATATAGAGTATATTTTTACAAACATTTTATTAATAATAGATCTTTAGAAATCTAAGTATTCTAGTTAGATATATGAAATATAGTAACAAACAAATAAACAATAAAATTATATAGCTTCAGATTTAATTTAACTCTATCTAATAAAATGTAATCAATTAAATCCTTAACAGTTTTTAAGCATCAACAGAAATATAAAGCTAGTGTAGAAAATTTGGTCTCTTAACTTGAATTCAATAATCACTAAGTATGAATAAAAATCCACAACGTTTTATAAACAGATAATATCGGATTGTCTGAAAAAAACATACAACTATACAATGCTTTCTACTTATAGCAGAAAATATCGAATTTTATGGTGTAACATCCGGAATTTCAGGTATTATATTTATTCTTTTAAATTTCAAGTTTTGTGGAAGGACTCGGCGAGTTGATGCGTAGACTCGCCGAGTAGAGACGCAAATCATTATCCGGGTGGACGGTTGGACTCGACGAGTCCATGCTGTTTAATGAAATCATAATTCCTCAGGTTTGGGGTCTATTTAAAGGGCCTTATGGTCGTCATTTGCGGCTATCAGACCCCAGAGAGAAACCCTAAGTGTGCTAGAGCGTTTGTGAGAGGGAAAGGAGCTATTTCTTGATCTTTGTTGGTATTTTTGCAAATAGAAGAGGACCAAGACAAGAGGAGGCTGAAGAGGGTGCTAAGATAGTGATTCCAGAGCTCAGAGACTTCATTTTGAGGTATCCATTCGAACCCTTCTTCAGTTTATGATGTGATTCTTAGAGTTAGGGCTTTTTAGCCCGATTAGAGGATGATTATATGGAGTAATTGGTCCCTTCTCGTGTTGGTGCTGTAAATCTGGACCCAAAGAGGTCCAGAGACCCTTTCCCCTTGAGCTTTATGAGCATTAATGGAGGTTACGAACTTAGGGTGTCACCTTAGAGGCCATATCTTCAAATAAGGCCTTTGAGCCTTTGCATGTGCACCAAGATGTTAGATTTACGTGATTATAATGCCTTAGGAAGCTGGATCTATGGTTTAGAGAAGCGGATCTGACCTCAAGAGGTCAGTTCAGCTTGATCATGGCATGGACTCGCCGAGTCCTTTAGCCGACTCGACGAGTAGGACGAGGGTTTTCCCGATAATCACACAGTTAGTGACTCACTGAGTTGGGAAAGTGACTCGGTGAGTCAGAGGGAATCTAGAGGACAGAGTGCACGATGGTACTCGCCGAGTCAGGAGTCGGACTCGGCGAGTTGGGTCAGGACATTTCACAGGTTGTGATCAGTGATGATTTACAGAGTTGAGGTTGACTCAGTGAGTCGAATAAAGACTAGGAGAGTGAAGAGCATGTGTGGACTCGCCGAGTCACAGCTACACACTCGACGAGTTTGGTAAAGGTTGACCGTTGACTTTTAGGGTTAGTCAATGTTTGGACCTTATTGTCATAGAAAGGGTAGGATAGTCTTTTACCCTTCCTAGTGGATGTATTTAGAGGAATAGATTAGCCTAGCCCTGAGGGTTGTATTAATTAGGGTATTTATTTCACGTGATTAGGCAGAGGCTAGACCGGAGTTACCGAGTCAGAGATTTACTAAGACATCCGAGGTGAGTCTTCTCACTATACTTTACCTTGAGTAGGTAAATAGAGTTATGTGATACAGTGTTTTATATATATTGTTTGTTGCACTGCATTCTTCTATGTGATTTATGTTGTGCATGCTTGCAGAGTTAGAACTTGAGGGTTCATAGAGTTTGGGTGCACGGACCCATGGAGTTATAGCCTCGAGTGGCTAATATGTGTTATATGTGGTATTTTGGGGAACTCACTAAGCTTTGTGCTTACAGTGCTTTGTGTTATGTGTTTCAGGTACTAATGAGGATCGCGGGAAGGCGCCGGCTTGATCAGTACACACACGGGATTTTTATGCTATGAGATCTTGGGATTGATATATGTTATGAATTGAGTTTCAAACAATGATGTTTTTATGAATAACAAATGAATTATGTTTTTATAAAATGCGAAAAAATGTTTTGGAAATTTACGTTGTTACAAGTTGGTATCATAGCCTTGGTTTGAGAGATTCGGGTACACCTTCGGGAGTATTTGAACTCAAACTGAGGATTTGAAAAATATTTTCAAAAGGGAACCAAGTTCTCTAAAAAGAGTAAAAGATTTTTAGAAAAACACAGAGCAGAGACGTGTGTACGATCAGTCAGCGCCCGAACGGTGATTTCCCAAAATACCCATATGTTATATGTTTATGAGATTGATATGATGTATTCTCGTGTTAGAGTGGGCTAGGTATTTCCTATTAGGACTAGAGTGGCCTGATTTGTGATGTCTTATCCTAAGGGGAGGTGAGCTGCTATGAGATGCTTGAGAGTGAGTAGGTAGCAGTGAGGAGCTTATGAGAGATCTATAGAGAGTGGATTATGCATAATAGAGTACTTGGGACTTGGGATCCTAAGAGGAGGACTTGGGGTGTACACTGATACGGTGCGGACAGTAGTATTGGGCCCGTACTACTGAAAACACCGGGGCGGTGTACAGTTCAAGTAGGAATCTTCAGGATACCAGAGATCAAGGAGGGATGCGTTATTGAGTGCGAGTATGCTCAAATGAATTTCTAATATATCGTATGTTGTATTCCAGAGGTAGATCATGGTGAGGACACGACTTATGCCAGAGAGCAGCGAAACTAGTGATGAGGAGATCTGTCGGATCATCCATGAGGAGGTGGCTGCGGCCATCAGGGCAGAGATACCAGAGATGTTCGGGTCTATTAAGACCACGCTGATTGAGACTTTTGACGAGTGTTATGCCGCTCTTTTCTGAGGCTGTTGTCGCAGCGGCCACTGCAGTCGTCGCTGCTGCTAGGCCACAGGGGGGTGACTCGTTATTGTTCAGGGAGTTCAGCAACACGAAGGCAACAGAGTTTGACGGGACGCAGGATCCGATTGCAGCGATGAGATGGGTATCTGACATTGAGGGGTGTTTCTATACTTGCTCGTGTCCGGAGCACTTGAGGGTTCGGTTTGCGCTGAACCAACATCGCCTGGGAGCGAAGGACTGGTGGAAGTTCGCGACAACACACTATTCTCCAGCAGAGCTTGTTGCGGTGATATTGGAGAGGTTCACCACCATGTTTTGTGATGAGTACGTTCCCTCGGTGGAACGAGATCGGTTGGCACAAGAGTTTTTGATCCTCAAGCAGGGTACAAAGTCTGTTACGGCTATTACCAGGATGTTTCATGAGAGGGCAATGTTATGCCCTGAACACGTGTCTACTGAGCAAGCACGTATGAGCCGTTATTTGAGTATTTTGAGGAGAGATATTCGGGAGTTCGTGGCGAACTCCTCGTACCAGACATTTGCCGAGCTTCAGGCAAATGCTCGGAAGAGGGAGAGCGAGCTAGAGACTCAGGCGATGGAGGAGACGGAGTCTCAAGGGAGGGATCGACACAGTCCCAGTCGGCAGCCAAGCGGGCCAAGCCTGCTGATCCCATAGCAGGGAGCCAGAAGGGCCGCACTTGTGGGAAGTGCGGCAAGGGTCATGATGGAGTTTGTAGAGTGGGATCTTGCTACAAGTGTGACAAGGAGGGGCATATGGCCAAGGACTACCCAAAGGGGTTTGCAGTGTGTTTTCACTGCAACCAAACCGGACACCGGAAGGCCGAGTGTCCGCTGTTGTGAGGATATATACATATAAACTCCATTCCTTATGAATCATAGACATCCTACAAATCCAGAACCAATTCCATCAAAATTCTATTCATCATACTTATCTAGGACATGACATTCAGAGGTTGGTATAAATATATTTTGGGCTCGATGTAAGAGAAAAATAAAAAGGCCCTAAAAGACACAAATATAGTAAAACAATTTGCAAAAATAAAGAAAAATACTCATTAGTACTTTTTATACAAAATTACTAATAATAGTATCAAGATTGGTTTAGAGGTTATGTCGTGTGCTTTCCATCCGATCGATCTTTGAATCTAAAGAAGTCGATTGTCTTCGTTATTCTGAAAATAGTATCAATATCAATCTTGTTTGGCATATATTTATCCATACATAAAGTATTCAAACCATTCAATATTTTTATGGCAACGATGACACATTTCTTTGATAAAACTATCTTTGAAAAACATCTACTTATAGATGCTACGGTGACAATAATGATTAATATAATTTTATATGTAATGAATTATAAATGTTAAGACTTAGGAATCGAGATGATATATATAATCAACTAATCTGTTTTATCATTTTTTGATTGCTTCATATGTTGTCAATTTAGAATTTATCGATTTGATTTCCCTAGTTTTGGTTTCATCTGCCAAATTCTTTATGAACAACAATTATTATATATATCAAAATTGGAAGTTTGAATTTGGCTCCTCACTTCCTATAATTTGTTTTTATTTTTATTTTCTTAAAAATAGACTAATGTCTACATACTAATATTACATATCCTATAAAAATTTGAGTCCTTTGGAACGATGGGCCCTAACGGTCACCCTCTCGCCCATCATTTAGGTCGGGACTGATGACACTTAAACCCAAGTAATTAATATGAAGTTAAATATTTGTTTTATCCAATTTCATTTTATTCTTTTCTTATGCATAAACTTGCTTTACGATCAAAAGCAATTATGATTTTTTGTTTAAAAGTAATCGTGATCTTTTTATTTACCTTCATGTATCAGATTGTTTGCTTTAATATATCGAAAAATATAGTCCTAAACGAGGCTTGCGGATATAAATAGTTAAAAATGGAATCATGGAGATTCTACCATATTTACCAGCGTTACAACATGTAGTGTGTTATATATGCATTTTATCATATTTATGTGTTATATATGCATTTTATCATATTTAGGTTGGAGGGAGTGGTGCCACCGAAACCGCACTCCCTCCCCCGCCACATCAGCGCCATGTCACTTCTTACCACTCAAGTGTGGTTTCTTGCCACACTTTTCATTTTTTTTAAAGTATTTTAATTTAATAAAACTTTTTTTTTTTTTGAACTAATTTAATTTAATATACCTTCTATTTTAATAAAAAAAACATAATTCTTCATTACTTGAAAAAAAAAAAAAAAAAACAGTACATTGTGTTACCAAAAAAAAAAAAAAAAACACATACATTACATTTAAATAACCCTAGAAACTTAAAAAACATAAATAAAATAACTAAAGGAAACTACATAAAGTCGTTCTATGTTTGTATGTTTGTTCCGCCATTTGAACACACGCAATAACGGTATAAAAAATAATCTGAAATTCTTCAGAAAATAAAGAAGATGACATTTTTTGGAGAGTGGTAATTGAAAAAAAAAATTGAGAGAGAGAAAATTGTGTTGTGAAAAAAAAAATTAAGTTTGATATGTGTATATATATAGGAAGGAAAGAAAAAACAAAAGAAAAAAAAAAAAAACGAAATTGCATTTAACGGTCAAAAAATTGACCAACCAATCACATTCCGCGGTCTTCAAAAGCCGCACTGCGGTCTCAATGGCAGGAAACCGCACCCTGGGGGCGGTGTTCCCTGCTGAGGTGGCACCAAGGTGCGGTCTCAAACTGCACCACACCGTGCAGCCTTATTTGTTAGTCTTGTATAGTAAGATGTCATATATATTTATACATGTATGTTGTATATAGCTTTTTTTATTAAATAATAAGCTTTTATTATCTTTTATTTAAAACAATTTTTTTTTCTATTATATGCATGATCATGTAACATTTTTTTTCATTATCCTTTATATTTGTTTGTTTATTATCCATAGACATTATGTAACATCCCATTCTCATCATCATTTGAAACAATATTTGTTTTTATATCAGATTATTAGACATATGGTACTTTGTTATATGAATAAAACTATAAATTATATATCACTAGATTATATACTTATCATGTATTCAAAAAATGTGAAAGTCGAGAGTTCGAAAAGCAAATAGCAGGTAGGCTTGCCACAAACTATCATTATATATATATATATATATATATATATATATATATATATATATATATATATATATATATATATATATATATATATATATATATATATATATATATATATCAAGGAGCTTATAAAAATATAGTAAAAATATTGTTTATTAGTTATCATACAACATAGTATGTGGCAAGCCTACCTTCTATTTGCTTTTCCAACTCTCGACTTCCAGATGCTTTAAATACATGATAAGTATATACTCTAATGATATATACTTTATAGTTTTATTCATATAACAAAGTACCATGTTTCTAATAATCAAACATAAACAAATATTGTTTCTTACAAAGGATGATAAGAATGTCGATCATAAACAAACAAATATAAATGATAATGAAAACAAATGTTACATGATCAGGTATATAATAGAAAAAAAAATATTGTTTTAAATGAAGGATAATAAAAGCTTATTATTTAATAAAAAAATTATATACAGCATACATGTATAAATATGTATGCCAAATATGTATTCCATCTTACTATACAGAACTAACAAATAAATATGATAAAATACATATATAACACACTACATGTTATAATATTGGTAAATATGTTTGAATCTGCATGGTCCTGATTTTAACTACTTATATCCTTGAGCCTCATTTAGGATTATATTTTTCGATATATTACAGCAACCATTTTGATACATGAAGATAAACAAAAATATCACTATTAATTTTTAACAAAAAGATAGTATTACTTTTGATTGTAAAGCAAGTTTATTCATAAAAAAAAAGAATAAAGTAAAATTTGACAAAACAAATATTTGACTTCATATTCATTTTACTTGGATTTAAGTGTCACCAGCCCAACCCAAATGGTTGGCGGTATGGCGACCACCCAAGGCCCATCGTTCCAAAGGTCACAAATTTTTATAGGAGATGCAATTTATTGGGTGATGGCAAATACCACGTTGACATTGTCACGCATATGATCGATTGGCCAAATAATCTAGTTTTATGTGTTAAAATTGACTGGATACGTGAAGTCCCTATAAAAGTCCTTTGTTTTTTGTCTGGAGAGCGGATTTGGGGAGGATACATTGAGCAACAAAGTTAACTAAACGGGGGTATAACCTTGGAAACAAACTAATGTGCATACTATAGAGTGGTAGATGAAAGCCCATATCATATTTTACTGAGGTGCCCCTTTGCGAAATATGTCTGGGAACGGATATGGAGAAGGTGTAGCTTGCCATACACTTAATTCAATACCGTGGGAGAATTAGTCGACTATGCAGCAAAGTGGGGTAGATGTGCGAAGAAAAGGAAAGTCTTGAGTAGTATATGCTATAATACACTCTCGTGGATTTGGAAAGTTATGAACAAATGAATGTTTAAAAAACTTATCATCACTCCCACAAAGGTTGGTGATAACATCCAATCAATGGCATACACTTGGATGAAATACAGGAGCTCAGAAAAAGTTTGTGAATGGGCTATTTGGTGTTCATATCCTCTTAATTGAACTACAAAATTATGTAATTTGTTGTGATAACGTTGTAAACTCTAAACTGTTTTTGTCCCCTCTAGCTCCTTGTTGGTTTGAGTTTTTTTAATATATTTACCGGTTAAAAAAAATCAATTATGTTTATAAAATCATTTTAATTTATGGGATAAAACAATATATGTACATGAATTAACAACATGTATTCATTTTCAATAATCAATAAGTTTAAGAGGGTGTTTGGCTTTGCTTTTAAAATGACTTTTAAGACTTTTAGCTTTTCTAAAAAATCAAAAGTTTAAAAAGTTGTTTGGTAATTGAAAAAGATATTTTAAAATAGCTTTTTGAGAAGAAGAAAAAAGACACTTGTGTGATTTTTGGCAACTTTTGCATTTTTTTCCTTTCCCCCTTCTAAACAAACACATTTTAAAACTATCTTTTGTAAAAAGATATGAATCAAAAAGTTTTTTTTCTAAAAAGACTTTGATCTGAAAAGTTATCCCAAACACCCCGTAAGTCTTTAAACTAAAAGAGACCCCCATTAAATACGTCTTTCAAACATTTAATTGTTAACTAGTTATTTGTCTACTTTCGTCAAACACATTTTATACTTTACTAAATAGTTATGTTTTGAAACATGCTTAAAGCAAATCACATTGTTACAAACACTTGCAACAATATCCATCATACATTGTAGAATATAGTTTGCATGTAAAACAACTTAACAATAGTTGGTATTTAATACTATGTAAAATTGTATCCGGTACCTGTTTTTATTTATTTATTTATTTATTTGTTATAAACATGTCGACATAATTAATATTTTAAACAAAATATGATCAAATATGGGCCCTCAGCTCCATGTAACAAAAAATAGTTTCTGTTATATTAAATCTAAAACTAAAAAGTATTATATGCGATAAATTTTATTAAAAATAATACAGATATATTGTGATAATTGTTATTTTTATTAATATTAATACGGATGACAATACATAAAGAAAGATATTGATAGGAGTTGATATGGTAGAAGATAAAATATAAATTTAAATAAAATTAATTTAAAAGCCCATCCTCATAAAAGCTCGTCTCAATCCTGTGGTTTTCAATTCTTTGTGCCGTACTCTTGAGTTGGTTCTTCGCGTCTCTCTCGCGTTTCCCGTACACACTCCATTTGCTAGATCATTCATCCAAGTAATCACTGTAAGCTTTTTGATTTCTCTCCTTCAACTCCTTCAATTGCCACAAACAAATCGTTTTGCATTTTGATTCGGTGCATTTTGACCACATTTATGTGTGTTTACATACGATGTATGTATTACTAAATACGTGTATTTATGTCTAATGCCGTGTTTTTCACAACTTAGATTTATAATTTAAGTCGGTGTTAGTTTCGTGAAATGCAATGCAATCTCGTGGATTTGATCTGAAACGAGAAGGTTTATTACATATACTATCGCGAAATTTAGGGTTTTGTTACTAAATGTATGTTAATGTGGTCATATAGAAGGATAACACTTGTTGATTTTGTTTTGATTCGTATATCCTTGCTGAAAATTTGTTGACCTTGATTTGTTTCCAGAGTAATCATGAGCAACGAAGAAGAGAAGAGGTGTCCTTTGTGTGCAGAAGAGATGGACTGGACTGATCAACAGTTAAAGCCCTGCAAATGTGGTTATGAGGTTTGGTACTTACTCCATGGACATAAAGATGTTACGTTTGGTGTAATTACTTGTGTGATTGTTTTGCCAACAATCAACATTTTTTCAAAACAACTCATGCTATTGCTCAAACAGTCAATATGGAAAATCTGGATTGAATGATAGATATTAGGATTATATAATAATGGTACCAATTTACTAAATTATGTTCATAATCAGTTAGATATTGATGTTATATTTATAATACCATTGTAGGTGTGTGTTTGGTGTTGGCATCACATAATGGACATGGCAGAGAAGGATGCAACAGAGGGACGTTGTCCTGCGTGTCGCACACCTTATGATAAGGATAGAATTGTAGGGTTGGAAGCAAATTTTCAGAGGTTCAAATACTTTTGCAATATCTCTTATCTTTCATTTCTACATTTTACAATATGATTGATTCACAAGCCTGTCTTGCAGGGTATCTGCCAATAGTTCTAGTCGAAAACAAAAGCAACCAAAGGCAAAGCAAAAACCAAATGAACCAAGGAAGGATCTCAGCAATGTTCGGGTGATTCAGCGAAAAATGGCATATATTATTGGGCTGCCCCTTAGTATAGCAGATGAAGATGTGTGCACCTATGACCTATCAACTTATTTTTCATATCAAGTTTCTGTAACATTATTGTTATTAAGCA